GCAACAAAAAAAGTGAAATGCTTATTAACCAAGGAAGAGATGGGACTTTCCAAGGTCTAGGGCCCAGGACAGTATCTCTCAGCAGGCATTTGATGAGAATGACAGGGCCATTATCTGAGGAGTCACAGCACTCCAGTCACTCAGTAAGCACATAAACATCGGCTGAATAAGTGAGCATAGGTGGCTTCTGGTTATATGAACACGTGCACATATGTATACACATACACACACCTGAGCCCAGCCCTTTTTTCTGCTCTCCTCCTCCATTCTTTCAATTCACAAGCATCTGGTGAGCACTAACTGTGAGCCAGGCACTGGCATAGTGCGCTAAGGACCCAAAGATAAACCTTCAAATGACTGCCTGGCACTAGGACCCAGAAGAGTCAGGCAAATAGCATTTGCTTGACTCAGACACTGCCACACCTCATATGCCATACTTACAATAAGCATCTCAAAAGAACACCAAACCCCTGGTGTTTGAGTAGTCAACAAACCTGCATCTTCCACAGTACCCCCCATCTCAGCAAAAGGAACTCCTCTTTCTATTGCACAGACCAAAAACTTGAAGTCATCCTTGACTAGTCACTTCTCATCTAGTGGAGGTCACAGACATAGGATGACTCCAATATAGAGTGGAAAGTGCAAGGTCAGCTGTGGTTAGAATACATCAGCACAGAGAGGAAGGGGCACCTGAGCCAGTCTGGGGTGGGCAGAGAACTGGGAAGGAAATCGGGGGAGGGTTTTGGAAGGTGTAATAGAGAAACCAGGCAAGGAAAGAAAGGAAGAACATTCTAGGCAGGGGCAAATAATTTGGTGCTGCCAGAGCCAAATATATCTAATAATTGTAATGATGATTGATGATGATGACAACAACAAGGACTATTAAAATTTACTGAGCATTTACCAGGTACCAGGTAAATGTTTTATGAATTAACTCACTCAGGCCTCAACAAGCCTATGATGTGAGTAATATTATCTCCATTTCACAGATAGGGAAATTGAGGCTCAAATGTAAAGTCACTTGCCCAAAGCCACCAGCTAGCGAGGAGCAGAACCCAGGTTGAAACACAGTGGGCTGGCTCTCAGGACTATGCTCTTGCCCACCTTGCTCACTGCCTCCTGTGCATAGGACTAGGGAGTCAATGACCTGGAACTCCTACCAGCTCTGCAGGACTGATGATCTATTTCTAAAGGGCTGATCCTGCGGTTGAGGAAGACAGATAGAGTCACAGAAAGTGTAGCCAACTACATCCACATTCCCTTATGTGAGTCAGAGAAGGAAGATTCGAGAAACTCACCTGTATGAACCAAAAGGCAGACAGAATGGTGAAGGAAGAAGAAAACTCAAGAATCATCTAAGCCAATAAATACTAGACATTCTGATTTCCAAGACAAGTAAAATCTAACCCTAAATTCAGAGAACTAGCATATTAATAGGTCTGCCATCTTTATTTTACCAAATATGAACATTAAAAAGATCCACCATTATCAGATCCATTAACCACCATCACTGGATCCATCACTGGAACCATCCAGGCACCATTTACTGTGTGCCTTGTTCCTTTCGGGCTGCTGCTACTTGTTCTCCCCTTAAGCGCCTCATCCGTGAAGGCCAGATTTCCCCAGCGTTCCACCCTCAGCCTCTTTTCAGGCCTCAGACTCCACCTCAGATCTGATCCACTCCTGGGCCGCAACCATGGCATATACCTCCCAACATCTCCCAAATGAGCACCTCGGGCCCTGGCCTTCCTACCAGGCTTCAGACCTGCATAGCTGCCTCCTGGGCCCCCTTCAAAACTAAAATCCTCTCTTGTTCTCTCAGTCAATAGAGCTCAGTCCGCAGTAGGAGCAGAAACCCAAAAGTCATCACCTCTCTATCTTCTTATCACACTGTCACCAACTCCCCAACTCTCCCAAATTTCTCACACACACATCCCTTGAAAAATTCTAATATTTCTGGACAGGTGTTTCTTTGAGACTACTTTTCCCAGCACCCTTGCACCTCGGTGGGGTTGGGAGACAGCTTCTGGTCAACGGGATGTAGGTGGAACGACGTCCACCACTTGTAGACCCATAAAAACTTCCCACACAATCCTCTATTATCCATCTTTTCCATCTGCACCCCTGGTACTTGATATCCTGAATGTCCGCAAGAGCCACGTGTTGAGGAGGGCAGAACCCAGGTCAGTCATCCTGGATCCCTGAATGACTGTATGGAACAAGGCCCCTACCCCATGTTGACTACTGGACTTGACATTAGCAAAAAATTAATGTCTACAGTGTTAAGGCGAGAGAGAGAGAGAGAGAGAGAGAGAGAGAGAGAGAGAGAGAGAGAGAGAGAAAGGGTGGGAAGGAGGGAATCAGGAAGGGAGGGAAGGAATTCTCCTAGATAACTAGATTAGCTTCCAAGCAGCTCTCCACGACATCCTCCTTTAAATCAGCATCCACACCACTACCTAAGATCTCTTCCTAAAAAGCAAATCTGATGGTTGCTCTCTCCTGTCATTTGACCGGCCCCATCACCTTCAGGGTGTGGTACAAATTCTTGAGCATATACCTCAACAATCCATTGTACAAATCTCACTGACCACCTACTATGCACAGAACAGGGGTGCTGGGTACTGGGGAGACAGCCAGCTAAGGACAAGGCGGCTGGGGCCAGTTTACATTCTACTGGCAGAGGGTGCAATGAGGAAGATAAATAGCCCGAGGTGATGAAGACTAGAAAGGAAAATGATCTTCGAGTTGAGACCTAAAGGATTAAGGAGGCAAACCAGGAAGGTCCTTCCAGACGGAGCAAAGGCCGCCCCTGAGCAAGGTCTGGGGTGTTCCGCAACAGAAGGGCAAGAAGGAGGGGCCATGGCTGGAGGGCGGCAGGGACCGGTTCCCTAAACCCTTTGAGGGCTGAGGGAGGCATGTATTTCCGGCTTGTAACAGGTCAACAAGAGATGAGCGAGGGTTTGAGAGACTCCCTCGGCTGCTGGGCTGAGAACGCTCTGACTGTCCGGCCCTCACACCTAACTGTGGAGACCCGGGAGGTCGTGGAGCCCTCCGAAGCCACCCCTCCCCCACAACCCCCGGCCAACTGCCACAGCCTGGGCGTCCCACCCGGCGCCACGCTCTAGCCAAGACACTCTCTGTTCTCAGAG